TTTTTATCACTTGATAGGGGCGCATGTGGTGCATTGGTTAGAAGTGCACTGCCTCGCACACGAGGTCAGTGGTTTGATCTCGCGCTCATGGCTCACCAAGCCATCGACCCTTCCGGGATCGGTAAGTTGCTACTAGACGGGTTTCAGACTTGTTTGGTAGGATAGGTAGCACTGGCGCGGTACAGCGGGAGGCCACCACGAGTCATTTTAAAAGGCCAGATATGCATTCAATCACCTCAGACGAAATTAAAAGTTAAATGCTAATGCATAGCTTATCTCTAAGGAATTAATCAACGCCGAGAGCTTTATCCTTTATCACTTGACGTCGCATGTAAATATTACGTCTATGGTTCCACTTAAGGGGATTCTCCCCAAGAGGGATTTTCTCAAACGAAAGGCATCGTGTAACTGAAGAGGCTGAAAGGTTAAAACACGTCTATTGCACTGTATAGTGCCTATAACAGACTACAAGCATGACTCAAAAATAATTACAGGCATGTCGTTAAGCAATTTTGATTAGTTCTGGTTAAATTTGGCACCTATTGCTATAGTACCAAAACTTATGAAAAGAACTAATCTGTTACGTACTGTCATGTAGTATATGTTACTTTGAAATTCACGCCGCAGAGAAATCTGTTTGGTTGGTCGGAAGACCACATGGCGCGATTTTAGGTGATAATCTAGAAATTACGGATAGAAGAACCTTGTATTCAAGCGAAGCGTAGATGAATCCAAGAGATGTGCTCCTCATTCCTGCTGCACTAATCTGACACACACCTCCTGTATTTGAGTGAACATATCTACTGCTGCGTGCTGACTGTATTCGCGTGTTACGATTCTCATGTTAAGACCCAATTTGGCCAAACGCTTGCAATCACGGGAACTATAAGAGAAACGCTAAAGATATTAGTTTATCGACCATTCCGAGAGAGACTGCAGGCTATCTATGAGTATATTAAACTCGATTTCAGAACTCTTCTGGTTAGAAATAACACCGAAAAGAAAAACAGCATAATGAGAACGTCTCATTTTTCTGGCTCGCGAAAGGTCGATACGGCAGCGCGCGTTAGGATGAGGGGCTGGGGCTGCCAAAATCTCAAGGCCATTCTAGGCTAACTGAATCTCGAAAAACTTTGGAAACGATTTGGACATATAATGCGTACCTACTTGAATCTGATCCTCCTATGATAAACATGAGCATACAGGCTAGAAGGACATATGACGTCGAAGATGTGACTGAGATGGGAAGACGTAACCAGTCATGTGGCTTCGTCTACGATGCCACAGATCTGTTCCTTCGAAAATGCGATGATAGGAATGTCGGCGACCTTGGTTTTTTTCAAACACGAGTATGGTAATGAACATCGACCCATTCAAACAAGCATCAATCGGATAAGAGACGGATTGTTGGAGCGATGTGGATCAACATCAATGTCGACCATCTTGATCGTTCACGCATCAGCATTCAACTAAGTCGAAGGCAATGTCTAAGCGTTGGAAATGAACTTAGTGAAATTCTACAAGACCATACAATCCTTGAGAAAGTCGTAGCAGATTTAACTTTAACAGTGGACGACTAGACGTTGTGAGTAATCAATTGAATATCGTAAACCTTCATTCAAGCGCTCTGTCGGTGCTGCTCAGATGTTCTAACGTTATTGAACTTCCAGTCCAAGTTTCTACTTTATGAAAGAGCGTTAGAGGAGTGTTTAATCGAAAGAAGTGAGCAAGGCTTGGACTCCTATATGCGGCCGCTAGCTTTCTTGAACGACTCGAATGCGGTTCATGGTGTCTTCCGATTCTATGCCTTATTCCTTCTTTGTGTTGTTTTTCATGCCGATCAAACTTGCAATTATACACATACATTGTAGTGTCCTAATCAGATTACTATCCTGTCGACTTGTTTACCTCACCGTGCATGAAGAAAGCGTGGTAAGGAAGTGAACAATAGAATTGAATAGATGCAGATGGTTAATATTAATCACAAGCATTTTAACTATTTTCAAAACTGTTTTTTCTTTATGCCAAATACTCATTTTTAAGCCACGCATATCATGTTGTCTGTTAAAATGGGGTGATTTATAGAGCCTGATATACGTGTTTCGACCTTGCAGTCTCGTCAGTCGGACAGTTACTCTTTCTCGTCTTTTGCCAATCCTGTGTGAGTGATCCAGTCCTCACACTAAGAGTTAGCAACGACAAACGTTCTAATTATCACCGAACACAGAATGTTCGACACTCATTGCTCTTGGCTGGTATACTTAATATATCACATCTTTTTTTTCGAGTGTTTTCACAAGACCACAGCTCAAATTTCAATATGCCAATAATCATTTCTGAGCCACGCATGTCAGATCTGTTAGAAAATGGAGATAACCACTTATACCTTGCCTCATTGATAAGCATATGAAAGATTTTTGTACATTTCATATTCGACCAACACTTTGACGTCTTCTTCTCCAATGCCGCAGTGATTACAATCGACTGTTCACAGCCGTTCGTCCTTACAAATTTAGTCCTCGGTGTTTGTGAAATCAATTATTATGAAAAGCATAATTATTTAGATGAACTATTGACTCTCATATTCATGAATAGGCTGAAGAAAAGTTGGCTTTCTAAGACATCGTCACTCTATTACCAGATAAAAAGCGACGAAACGTTGATGGAACAGAAGTTATATAGCAACGTTTGCAGGAGCGGGCGTAACGCAGTGGTTAGAGATGTCTTTCATTACGGATCTTGTCGGTTGGTCCCTCAGCCTCCGGTCACCAATCCTTCCATCCTTCCTTGTTTGGTAAATATGTGCAAGAATCCTATAGGTGGATAGCAACGCCGGTTGTCATATCGGTGCCTCACAACAAGTCATTATATAGAGTATATAAGCATTCAATCACATTTAATGATGCTTAATGATGCCTAATAATGATGGATTCATAATGTAACCATTGAGGTTTTATCCAATGCGGAACAAGGTGTTTTACAGTTGTTTTATTTGTGGTGGTGGCAACTTTTTTGCCGTCGTGTGTGCTACGGCACGAAACTGCATGTTGCATCTGTGTTTGTTGTATTTTGTGTATTATTTCATTCTTTAACAACTCTCTTTAAGCACGTGAACGAGGCAAAACATTGTACCATCTTTGTTCCCCTTAGTAGCTGGTCCATGTGGACGTTGTTTGAATATTTTTGGAATCAACTCCACATCGTATCCGTCGCTCACGTGTAAACTTTGCTTTTTCCAAGGTTTAAGTCGAACTATACTGCAAAAAGTTGTTTGCACAAGTTCTATTTGAAAATGCGAGTGTCTAGAAAATTTCTAGAAAATTCATATATTGTAGATAGGTAGCAGAGCACTGAGATGACTGGTTAAGTGGCACATATTAGCGCGCCAGTGTCTATCAATCATTTCTCTAACATTTATATGTTGACAATGTACTTTTTTTCCATCATCATCATTTTTTTTCTTCAATTTCTTCTCTTCAGTACATTTTTTCTTTAACGCTCATTCATTTATCCATTCAATGTCTATATGTGCATGGGATGTAGTTAAATCAATTACTCTGTAATTTTTCAATAAATATCCTTTGTTATACATGCATCACTTCTAGTCTCATCTTATTAATGAAATAGACATTCCTTCGTCCGTAAACTTTGACTTTCTCCTGACTTCTTCAATATAAATTTTTAGTTAGTGAAAGTTAAAAATTAAGAGCATAAAGCTCTTTGCGTTGATCAATACTTTGGGTATGCGCCAAGCACTCGTCGTCAGTTTTTAATTTCGTTTGAAGTGATTGAATGCATATCTGGCCTTTACAATGACTCGCTATGACCTCCGCTGTATCGAGTTAGTGCTCATAGACAAGACTGAAACCAGTCTTCTGGTACCAATTTACCGGCCCCGGAGGAATGGATGGATTGGTGATCCATGAGCACGAGATCGAACCTGAACTCATGTGCGAGACAGACCTCTAACAACTGCGCCACATGCCTTCACTGAAAATCTTTCTCACTCTTTCACTCTAGTTTTGAAGTAAAAACATAAAAACAAAAAACTGCGAGCACACAGGAAACTTATTAGCTGCAAACCAATATTCATATAATACAACATATAATACAAATCGTTTTTCTATCAAAGTAAGGACACTAATGTACGAGACCTAAAAAATTCGATGACGCCCCATATGTTTTTCTCGTAAAAGGTTCAAAGTTCTTCAAATTCTACATTAAAACACTGTGTTCACATTTTTAAACATTTTTTTGACGAGCAGATTAGTTTTATGAGTGCGGATTATCATTTAGATAGGACAAACAACTAGAAAATTGCTCTGAAGCAGAGTGTTTATCGCACTCAGAAGGCGCATAAATGCTTGCCTCCACCCACAAACGAATAAATAAGGCAGAATATTCAATCACCAACAAATCATAAAACTTTGAAACTTTTAGCCATGTCGATTATTTTGTCAAGTTGAGACCAGGAAGTTCTCTCTGTGCTTCTAGATTTACGACATTGCCAAATGCGCTGAGATTATGAGTCATATTTATATATTCACTATAAATTCATTTGAGAATCTAGTCGGTTTCACGGCAGTATTTATAAGTCGTCAGTTCACATATCCATTTCTTTGCAAATAATTTGCAGTTTGAGATATAAAAATTTTGAATTAAAAGAATTCTACATATTTCAGAATGTTGCCAGTTGATCCACATTTATTACTGCTTGTTCGGCTACTATTTTATGTGTTCTATAGACTGATCTACACAATCGTGTTAATCGAATCAGATCTGTTCGCATTGATACGAAGAGCTACATATCAAGTAAAATCAGAAAACGTTGAATTCTTCTATATCATAACTCGGTACGTGAGAAAGAAGTACTACGCTTTTCCACGCTTCAGTTATTCAGATCAAATCAATACTCAATATTGCTAGTGTTCTTACTGCATTTTTCGCAGTGCTATGATGTTTTGTATATACCCAAGAGAACTGAGTGGTGATCAAAAACACGACCTCAGACGTGAGTCGAACCCGTGTTTCATCCATACCGGTAACGTGTGCTACCACTACACTACAGAGCTACCTTGTTGTCACCAATCGTTCTTCAACATCTCTATGTTAGGTATGTAAGAAACAAATCAAGAGCAAAATTAAATAACAGCAGCTTGTATGTCGTTATAAACGGTACTTCTGTGCCAGGAATCGTGTTCGACGCCATATGTCTCCTCATTCGTTTTCCTCTCCTAATGTACGATTTTGGTTCACTTGTTGAGCGACATGATATGACTAGTCCACTGAATATCCCTGTCACAAACATTCTCCTAACAGAGTGTCGACCATTGACATGGCTTCGAATAGCTAATATTTGAATCATTCTGCCTTTAAATCAAATAACTTCATCATATACTCATAGTAGGGCTTACAAGTAAATCAGTGAAACTGAGTGTATCCTTTCTAGTTAGAGTGACAATGCCAAAACCGAATACGGACATTTCGATCCTGAACTTTGGGCCAATAGTCAACTACACGTCGAGCACTTGTACTATTTGCGACGATTCGACAGACTGAGCTGAAACCTATAAGTACACCCACCGACTGAAACATAAACTGCTTTTCTACACTACACGTCTGGTCTATTTACAATATACTTAGCGTCCTAACCACTCGATCATCGCTCAACAGGATGTAAGCTTGAGATTACTCTTCCGTTTGAGCATCGCTGAAATGCTGAGATGTAAATTGAGATTTACAACACTGGCGGAAGAAGAAGACCTACAAACTTTACACAATCCCCCCACTATTGATAGTATTTGTGCCAATTCTTCACCGCGCATCAAACATTTCCGATTTTTTCAGAGCGCGAAAACGATTGGGGTTTGAACTTACGGAGCTTCCGCCCGTTGAAACTTAAATTTAGAGCCTTACCCATTCATTTATTACGCTCTGTCTTGCATCCTCAAATCGAACACTTCTACACAGATTCCTCATTTCCTTAGCATTGCTGAAGTGTTGCGACGAAAAATTATATGGTCAGCACACAAGAAGAGATTGCTATCTTACTAAGTGACAATAGTCAGAATTAGGTAATTGTGCGATACTTCAGTAAAACAGCGACCATTTGCGTTATTTGCGGAACCTCAGCTCGACTGGGACTCGAACGCATAGTTACATACGTAGTTTGAAATCTTAGCCCACCACCTCAACCACTCGACCCATGGAGATGTGGCCTGGACGCTTCAATTTTGTGTTCCCCAAAACATTACAGGAATATTGAAACCTGAAATGGAATTGTCAGTATATACGGAACGGATTTATTGTATAACACATAGGCAATGCACACTTTTATAACACTCTGTTAAAATCGTCGATAATACGACCATCATTCATCATCCGCAAAACATCAGCTCGAGAGGGGTTCGAACCCACGAGGACTTGCGTCCATTGGAACTTAAGTCCAACGCCTTAACCACTCGGCCATCGCGCTATAACATTAGACACTTCAGTCTATCCACTCGTATAAGCATCCATAAAATGATGAAACGTAAAATGAGTTTTTCAAGAAGTACAAAAGGAACCTGTTATCTAATACTTGGTCTATTTCAGGGGTTCATGGAAAACTCATTTTACATTTCTATGACCATCTAAGTTATTTGTAGAATTATACCTTTATCTCGAGTGATTTGTTTAGACCACGCTCAAATTTCAATATATCCTTTCATCATTATTTGAGCCAACATGTCATGTGGTCTGGTAAGGGCTCTTGTACAGCCCGAGACACGTGTTTCGTCCTTACAGATCATCAGCCGGGCAGAAACCCGTCGTCTGTCGATTTTTTTATAGCCAGTTCTCTCGGGAGCGTTACACTCCTTATAGAGAGTCATCGACGACGTACGCCTTACACTCTCTGTCAAGTGAAACATTCACCTAACACAGAGTGTTGAGCACTCGATTGCTCATTGGCTGGTACTTTTGTCATAACTATAAATTTATCTCGAGTGCCTATAAGCAGTGTAACGCTCCCGAGAGAACTGACTATAAAAAGACCGACAGACGACGGGTTTTGCCCGGCTGATGAGTATATAAGGACGAAACACGTGTCTCTAGCTGTACAAGAGCCCTTACCAGATCACATGACATGTTGGCTCAAATAATGATGAAAGGATATTTGTAAAAACTTTTGAATTTGCCTTGCTTGCAAAACTGTAGCGCGAATGGGGTTCGAACCCACGAGGACTTGCGTCCATTGGAACCTAAGTCCAACGTCTTAACCACTCGGCCGTAAGTCCAACATCTTAACCACTCGGCCATCGCGCTATATGATTAGTGACTTCAGTCTATCCACTCGTAGAAGCATCATAAAATAATGAAAGGTAAAATGAGTTTTTCAACAAGTACAGAAGGTACCTGTTATCTTTTATTTGGTCTATTCGGGGCTCATGAAAATCGTCGATTACACAGTGACCATTTGAGCTATTTGTAGAATCTTCACATTTTGCTTTGTTTGCAAAATTGTAGCGCGAGTGGGGTTCGAACCCACGAGGACTTGCGTCCATTGGAACTTAAGTCCAACGCCTTAACCACTCGGCCATCGCGCTATATGATTTGTGACTTCAGTCTATCAACTGGTTCCTGATTTTCTTCTTTAAGCAGAACATGAAATGATGAAACGTAAAATGAGTTTTCCAAGAAGTACGAAAGAAACCTGTTATCTAAAATTTGGTTTATTTGAGGGGTTCATGCAAAACTGCTTGAATCTTCGATAACATAATGAACATCTGAGTTATTTATAGAATCTTTACATTTTGCTTTGTTTGCAAAACTGTAGCGCGAGTGGGGTTCGAACCCACGAGGACTTGCGTCCATTGGAACTTAAGTCCAACGCCTTAACCACTCGGCCATCGCGCTATACGATTTGTGACTTCAGTCTATCAACTGGTTCCTGATTTTCTTCTTTAAGCAGAACATGAAATGATGAAACGTAAAATGAGTTTTCCAAGAAGTACGAAGAAACCTGTTATCTAAAATTTGGTTCATTTGAGGGGTTCATGCAAAACTGCTTGAATCTTCGATAACATAATGAACATCTGTGTTATTTATAGAATCTTTACATTTTGCCTTGTTTGCAAAACTGTAGCGCGAGTGGGGTTCGAACCCACGAGGACTTGCGTCCATTGGAACTTAAGTCCAACGCCTTAACCACTCGGCCATCGCGCTATAGGATTTGTGACTTCAGTCTATCCACTCGTAGAAGCATCATAAAATAATGAAAAGTAAAATGTGTTTAAGAACAAGTACAGAAGGTACCTGTTATCTTTTATTTGGTCTATTCGGGGCTCATGGAAATCGTCGATTACACAGTGACCATTTGAGCTATTTGTAGAATCTTCACATTTTGCCTTGTTTGCAAAACTGTAGCGCGAGTGGGGTTCGAACCCACGAGCACTTGCGTCCATTGGAACTTAAGTCCAACGCCTTAACCACTCGGCCATCGCGTTATGCTGACGTGGGAACTCCAATTTGTGGAATCTCTTGAGCATCGTCGAAAATTTGATTTTATACACAGGTTATCCCAAATTTTTGGAACACTGCTCGAATTTTCAATAACACAACAACCACATGTGTTATTTGTGGAACTTTGACACGACTTGGCAACCAACCCACGAGGCTTGCGTAAAGTGATTTCAATCCAGCGCCTTAATCCTTTCGTGACTAAGCCTCTTTCGCTGGAAAAAGCTTTTTCACAGACTTCTAGTAGTCATTGGATAGCTTGTTTTTCGTAAATCTCAAGGCCTTACTTGTATTTTGAAAAAGGTTCTTAGAGCGCTCTAGCAATTAAATAAAGACATGTTTCAAACTCAGATTTATTTGCTCGGCTAGGATTTTATGGATCGCTTTTTACAAGGCGATGTGCAATAGTTGAGCATTCGGTGACATGAATCTTGTCAGATCCAAAACTAAGCATACACATTGAAAAGGGTTTTATGGTGCACTGCAAGAGCGAAGAGAGAATTACGTATCGTCCTCGAAGTTTTCTTGCACTTAGGAGAGTTGTACACATCAAAAACATATGACCGGATAGAAAAGTTGCGCTGTATCAATATATCAAAGAAATTCTATAATTCCTTGGAACACAAGAGAATTTTTAGTTCAATCACAAAAATTGCGTTCTCTCGCATGAAATACGCTTGCACCGAATTCAACTGCCCCCGAAAGGGCTCAATTTTTTTGTTTATTTATAGTTTTCCTCCGTTTAAGCGGGTATTTTTTTCTCTGTTTTTGACACCGTTGTACGAGTGAGAATAAAATTGAGTTCCATCTCGGAGTACTCAAAAAGATTCGATTGCGCGGCGATGATTTTAGATGGATTTTCAACAGTTTTTGAGTACTCACTCGACAGAACAATCTCGGCAAATTTGAAACTGAATTTGGTTTTGAAAAGGTCTCCATAGAAGGTGTAAAAGCAATAAAACGATTACCGTTCACACTCGAAATCGCCGCTTTTTGGGACGGCTCGATCAATGGCGCAGCACGATTCACATGCTCGTGCGATTTGTTATTTTTTTGGGAATTTTTCACCGCTTAAAAACTTTATATCAAACGCACGTTTGCGATATTCCGCGATTGCACGTACATGTTTATCAGCTCTTCGTACATAGGCCTCGGCTGCTTAGGCTTAGTCTCAGTAGCGGATTGATTTGGCAATATGGAATGGAAATGAACATATAAACCTGCGGAATGACAGAACAGAATTTTTTCTACAAGTTCAATACAAAAAACCTAGAAATCTTCAAGAAACGGAGGAAAATGTTCAGTTTAATAGGGGAAATATGCGCTATAAGGTGCACCGCGTATGAACCCGTTTTGCACTACCAAGTACATTTTTGAACTTCCCGAAATATATTTTGAATGATTACCAGAAGTGTGATGGAAATTTACTGCCCGCAAAAAAAGATGTTCACAAAAAATGGGTCGCTGTAATGGAAAACAACCTGATTCCTAGTAAATTTTCATTTGATGGGTGTGATACCGATATGAGCTTTCTTAATCAAACTCGTTAGCATATGGTTGTGGACAACTACGATGCCTTATATTGAAGAAAATAATGGTAACCAAGCGGTAGTATCTGTGGTGTAGTTGTAACAAGCGCCACCGATATGGGTGAAACGCGGGTTTAACCATTGTGAGCTATAAAGTTCTGCATATCATTCAACATTCATGGTTATATTGATTATAACATCACAAACGTGCATCGTACTTTTGATGTTCATGGCTTTTTCCTGGATTTCTTCACCTCGCAGAACTTTTTTCCTGGACTTTTGTAGTCAACTGACAACTTGTCGATCACAGATGCTCTTCTGGGCTCTTTCATGGATATGTATTTTTAATTCTCTATGATTACAAAAAGTCGTTTTTCGAAGGTGAGGTGGAATCCTGGGATATGAAATCGTGAAAGTGATACATAAATAGGGGGCGCCGTGGCCGAGAGTTTGTGATGTTGGTCACGACGCTCGTAAAGCCCAGCCCCACCTCTTCCCTCCCCTCTTCTTTCCGGCAGTTAACAATAACGTCCTATGGAACATCACAGCAGCGGTGTCTTCTAAATTGCCAGGAAACTCGCTCAACCAGTCTTCTACGCCGTTGAAGAAGCAGACGCGAAAACGAATTGACTGCTAGAAGTGCTGGGATCTGCACAGTGAAAAAAAAAGGAAAAACTGTAATGACGAATCAAATATAGTGTTAAAGTGACACATAAATATAGTTTAACTATTGGTGTGATCCAACCTAGAAAGACTGATAATGCAGTGATTTATTATTGGGCGAATTTTTCTTTTGTCATCAAATAACACACAAAAGGGCCTCAAGAACAAGGAAGCAATCTAGGACATAACGAATATGTCGAAGTTAGGGAGACGTGAATGCATTGTGAGATACTGAGATACCCTGCGTTTTCGGAGAGTCATGAACCAAACATCTTGAGTTCAATGCGGAGTTAACTATGTTCCAAAAAACGCTATTCGACAGGCATGGGCCACAGATGTGCCATGGTCGTCAAAGAGTGTGCGTTCAGCGAACTTGTGGAAGAGATCCTAAGAAAGGAATCTGCAGTGTCTAGGTAGTGTAATGAATTCGTGGGCCCTTGTTGTTGAATGATTTTTCACCTTGATTTCGAATAGGATTGTTGGAGAGTGAAACTCATATATAATATGATCGATTGCAGTTCTTTGTGTGCTTTTGATTTGGTTAATTGTTGTTATATGGTATATATAGGGAAAGGGGGGAGGGGGATGGGGTGGAGATGCCGTGGCCGAGTGTTTGTGGAGTTTGTGATGCTTGGCGCAATGAGCATGGGGTGAACCTCACCCTCAGTGTCAACAATAAACACCCTATGGAACGCCATAGCCACGTTGTCCTCGAGATTGCAAAGAAACGCGCTCATCCAGCATTCTAGGAAGTTCAAGAAGAAGGCGAAAAACGATTGATTTTGAAAGAATTGTGATCCGCACAGTAAAAAAAAAGACGCTGTGAGTACGGATATCATAGTGCCAAAGTGTTATAGCGTGCGAATGCTTAGCACCGTTAATACACTTTTAGAGGCAAAATATGAATGTTCCTATCACAATTGAAAGATAGAAATATACTGCTGTTCGACTGATAAAGGTTCATGTATATGTTTGAACACATAGAAGAATTTTTGTATGACAGAGGTCATTCACTAAAATTCCGCTAAAGAGCGAATCCAAGCAAATTTGAGAGATTGTTAAGCGTACATTTTTTACACAGTGGGCCCATTTTGAACCGAGAATTTGATTATTTGCTATGTTTTAACGAGATTAGAGTTTGAACCTAATTATTGCTTGCCTGTATTGAAAATTCAATCAAAATAATCAGTAGGCGTGCTATAAAATTGGGTGAAAGAGATATACTTTACGGTTATGAACATATTGGTTTAGAGGTAATAGTATGAGTCTGCTTCAGTTATCGTCTCGATCAGTTCGACATTGCGCGGGAGCGTGACTTCATGATATTCAACGATGGTTTCGGAACTTTTGAAGACCTATTGGAACAGTGGTAGAGAATACATTGTTTTATTTTGGCTTTGAAAACATTCTGCATTTATCTTACTCTATTTAGGTGGATGATCTACACGATTACTGATAAATATGTGTATTTTGTTCGGATACCTGCTGAGCAGATTTTATCAATTACAAGCGCAAAATGTCTAACTGAATTTTATCATACTGCTGCCGATCGATTGGCTCGTATGGATAGCAGCACTTTTAAGAA